TTGTCCTGTAGGGGGAAGGGGGAAACCCGGGGGGCTGTTCTGGGGTGGGGGGGGGGGGGCGGGGTACAGGGGGAAAAATCGAGGGAACGAGGACACGGCGGCGGCGAGTCGGCGAAGGAGGGTGCGAAGGTAATGGAAAAAGGGGAAGTTGGAGGAAGGAATCGTAGAAGATTCCGTGGTTCGATAAAAAGAGTCGGTAACCGTGGAGGCGAGTAACGGCGTGCATACCTTACATATACGTTAGGAAGGGGATGACTCGAAGGGACATTGCTCCCTGGCCTCGCCTGCCCTGCTCTGCTCCGCTGTGTCCAGAAAGGATCCACCTATCGTCCTGCACTCTCACGGCCCTTACGGACCGTGACACCTCGAGTTCGGGTCCTTCCGTGAAGAGCGAAATAAGCGTGCAGGAATAAGCGGAATACACGCCGATGCCATGATTTACTTTCATCACTGAGATGCAATTTTCAAACTCCTTTCGCGAGAAGGAAAAGTAGAAGGAAGGAGAGGAAAGAAGGTAAAAAGTTCAAGCATTCCTGACCTCTATTCAAAAGCACCTTCCTTTCCCTCCCCGGGTCCCGTTCGCGCGTCTCTCTCCCTCTCTCTCTCTCTCTTTCCTTCTCTATACACACACACACACACAGATACAGTTGCGTGTATATATATAGAGAGAGAGATTTTCCAGTCGCCGTGATTGGAGAAGCTCAAAGGCGCTCTATCGAGCCGCAACGAAGCCGCAGGATATATTCGAAATTAACCGGGAGCCGAAAATAAAGGGCCGGTGGAAGATCTGGAGCGGGTTCGGGTCGGATTCGCCACCCCAACAGGTGGTTACGCGACTCGCCGGAGCGAAAGATAAAACTTTCCACCCCTAGGATGGAGTAGCCTGCAGGTCCTGGGTACCGGGTTTTCGGCTACGAACCTGCCGCGTCGCGTTTTCTATCCCTATACGCCTCTCTCTCGCGACGCCCTCCCGCCTTACCACCCAACATGGACTTTCTATCCCCGGGCTGCCTTTCAGCTTTTTTCCCTCTGCCTCTTCCCGCCTCCCCGTCCCGCACCTCGTCCTCCTTCCCCAGTCTACCCGGCTATCTATCCGTGTACCTACGTGACTATCCGCATCCCTATTCCTGACTTCTAAATCTAACCCTAGGTCTAACCCAACCTGGAGGCGCCCTTATACCCAGACGGCGGCGTCATGGATGGGGAGGTGTATATATATCCCCACCACGGCATCCCTCATCGAGGGGTCGTTGATCCCCCAAGGACAACGACCTTGCGTCTGCGGCAGCCAACCGTTCGAACGGTTCTGGGTTCCCGGATTCCACGATTACCAATATCTCTCGCTCCTCTCTTTCGCTCCTCTCCTTCCAACTTCCTCTTGCACCCCAACCTTCCTTTCGTCCCCTGCCCCCCCGGCCACGGCCGCCTCCGGCCG